GGGAAATATATTATTTTGCTGCATCTTATTCATTTGTATACCTATCCCCCACAATTACTTTCTCACATTTTTGTTAATGCGTTACTTGTCCATGTAATTATCATATTTTTCCACGTAGTGTAGAACATTGATATCGTTGTTGTGGACTCACGTGGGAATATACAATTGGGCAGTGTAGACATCCAGGCTTTTAACAAATAAATGCCCTAAAAACAGACATTCGTTGTATTTAAAATGCATAACTGAATTCCATGGTTCAATTGATGTATCACTTGTGTTGGCGTTTTCAAAATGAACTCAACCTCGAAGAGTATTGACATTGAAAATGGAGCCCAGCCATGCCGGAGGAGGGAGGGCAATGTGTTCCATGTTTTCTTGGTGGTAAGACACAGTGTTCTGTGGCTCTCCTACCTCACCTAATCTCCGTCTGGTGTCGAGTGGTAATAGTGATTCTTAAAATGTCTCCTGCAATCAGCGCCCAAGCCACCATGTGGCTTTGCGTTCTCTTTAAGGCAGGTAACAATAGACCACATATTGTCTATTCTGAGGACTCTCGCATGATGAATAGCTATGCGTCCATTTTAGTGTGATCCGGAGACACTCATTGGAAACTTTAATGCTGCATTATTATGCCAGTTAACCAAAACAAATACAGTATATAACATAAATTGAATTGCGTATGTTGTACATTAAATATTTACAAATGCAAAAAATAACTGAATACACTTGGGTAATTTTGTTCGTGATTTACTATTTAATGCTCAAAATAGATTAGTGTATGTTTAACTTCCATAGCACCGTACGTAGCCAACCATGCTAATCAGAGGTGAGTGTTGGTAAGGAATAACAACTGTCCATGGCAATACATACTCGAGGTTCTTGCAGGTGTAGAGATCTCCTTTTTGTAGTCAAAAAATTACAGATTGCAAAGTACATTTCACTTGAAGCTGCACACGGGCACTGAGCAGCAACTTTAACGTAGCTATTTCTGTGACCAGTTACAAGCTAATCACTCAGCTATTTCAATGCTAAATTCTATGCTAATTCCATTGTCAAGGGGTGCCTCTGCGGATGTGTATGCTTTAACTTAGCTATTTCAATGCTAAATTCTATGCTAATTCCATTGTCAAGGGGTGCCTCTGCGGATGTGTATGCTTTAACTTTTAACATAACTATTTCTGTGACCAGTCACAAGCTAATCATTCAGCCATTTCAATGCTAAATTATATGCTAATTCCTTTGTCAAGGCGCTTTGTTCCTCTCACACAGCTTAAAGGCCGTGATCTGAACGTGGCTCTTTCACTCCAGCGCTGTCCTACCAGACAGTCTCGTCCCTTCACCTGATGAAGGCCGCTTGTGTTGTGGCCGAAACGTCGTGAGAATATTATTGTGTAATTTTATTTTATCAATTTATTATTTTATTCTTATTCTACGTGACTTTACCGAAAGAACCAAAGAAGATGAGCAGCAGCTGTTGGATAGCCAATGCTGCAGCCAAGAATATTACTCAATGCTGCACTAGGATAACTCATGAGGACAACACTGCAAACTAGCTGCTGTGAAGCTAATGTGACAGGGGTAACAGGATAATATATCGTAGAACAATCCTCTATGTTATATAATGGGAATGGAAATGTGTGAGTGCCAAGTTTGTGATGGTGGTGACTGAAACGTTATGTGTGGCTGATAGTGATGACTTTTCCACTTTCCCATAAAGAAGTGCTGTGACATCACTGCAATGCTATCCCATAATTCAACACAGGGTTGTACGAGCACCTTTAGTAGGAATCTGCCAATTTTACGCACAGACACCCAAGGCTCACTTCAAAGGGGGCCATGGAAAGCCTACTGGTCTTATGTGCCATAATATGACGCATGTGTTTGCCAATGTGACTATAATTTAATGTCTTTTCAGTTTCCACAGTCAGGTTATGATCCATCCAAGAACGCTGAAACATCTCTTTTTTGAGTATAAAACGTAATCCCTGCTGCTTCAAGGCCCAATGGCATGAGATGTATAGGACCACCTAATTTAGTGGTGCTGAATGTCTGTCACTTGCATATTAACATATTTGCCTTGTATAACTGTTGGTGTGTACTACGCCCCATTGTTACAACACATTCCAGGTAGTACATTCGAGTGAACCATTAGTTTAAATATATTACAGATATTACAGTTGACAGTTATCACCTAAATACTAATCCCGTCTTAACGCCAAAGGACACCTGTTATAAGAGTCATGCTAACCCCATAAAATAGAAAGGTAGAATACACATCAGACCACCAAAGTTTAACACTTTCCCTTTGTATATTTTCAGATGTCCTTGCAGTAAAGTATCACATTCGTCGGCGCGAGGAGTGTGTTGTGTCAAAATTAATATAATAACAGTGAGAAGCCACCTTTGCCCTCCGGTTGGACACAAGCCGTCATCTGCATTTGTAATTAGGCATTTTCTATTATTATTATCATATTTCCAATAGTGGCAAAGCCCACATTGTTCTATGAAATAAAACCCTGGCCAGACACTTTGAGTTTGACTGCCAAATCCAAAGTAGCAAATTTATTTTATGTTGTAAATAATTTCAATTGTGCACTGAGCACATGGACTTAGTGTGTGATGCTGGCACGTGTATCTTTACGTGGAATGTAGGTTGCATTGGCGAGAGCCTAGATATCCAAAAGCATATTCTAAAATCATCAGCATCTGATGGAGCCCAACAGCTCTTGGGCAAATTGCTTCAGTGGGGACACCTGCTGAGGGCTGGCTGCTAATAGGGAGAATTGTACGGACCAAAATTCCAGAAAAACTGAGAGGCTTGGTGTGAACTTCCTGAATTCGTATCTTTTCTTATCGCAACATTTAACATAGATCATTTTAGTTTCTTTAAAAAAAAGTATTTTTTGTGTAGATATTTAGATTTTTTTTAATCGATTGTTTTCCAGTACATTACATATACTGTTTGACACATTCCTTTAACTCTATTGGAGCAGTTTTCTGAATCCACTGAAATGGAAAGGTGGGACTAAAGCTCTGAGGTATAGAACTCCGGATCCACTGCTCTGTGTTGTGACACCGTGCAACGAAATGCTAATTGAGATTAAAAGACCCACTGCCAGATGAGGGTATCAGCACACAGTGTCAGCCATGAGGGTTGTTTGAGCATAATTCACCAGACTCATCAGTGAAGATTGGTGAAGGGAGGCCCGGGAGCAGTTCAGATATCGCCTCACAACTGATGCTCGTCATGAAGCAATCGCTGTCAACCCATACGGTTTACCCGTATTCTTGTACAGGGAAATTGAGTAAAAAAATTGTCTATTTTTTTTGCGTGGTCTCCCTTGTGATGGGACTTTGTAGGATGAACGTTGGGATTTATAAGGGCACGGGGTAACCAATAAGGTCTGAATTGGTCTGTAATAAGGTAGGAACTGATAAGGGGTTGACAGGTTTGTGAATCTAACTCAGGTTAATAGTGTAGTGTGTGGTAACCATTGCATCACCACTCTATCCCTGACAATGTACATTTAAAGGCGCTTTATAAAGCAGCAACCATACTATGGTACATACTTACAGTACATAAGCATTTGACATTCTCATTGATCATGTTTTAATGAGGATATTTCAGCCTTAATAAATTGTCTTAAGTCAGTACCCAAAATCTTTCATAAACAGTTATGAATGCTACAACTTGCTCTTAAAATAACGTCGTGTTTTTGTATTAAAACCACAGATCAACCTTACTATAGGGACACAATAATGGCATTCCATTAATGTGTACTGCTCTTAATTATAGTTCACTGCGCATGTATGTTGAACTTCTTTCGAACTATACATGCATTCTAATGCTCTACCTCATGACATGGCATCAATAGCACAATTAGAATAATAATAATAATAATATACAAAACGAATCAAACTCCTGTACATGTGGGTTTGGAGTCAAGCATGGCCAACTCCAATCTACACATGCCTCGATCGGCCTGAGTCGTGACTGGCGAAGACCATTTGTTTTTTTTATTCTGGTGAGTGATGAGGTTCCACAGGCCCCAAGACGCGCGTGGAATTTTCCTTGGAATTTGTGAACAAAGTTGATCCACGCGAAGGCGACGTGACCTGCCGCTGGTTTGCTCCGAATCCAGGCAGGCTGATCAGAGATCACCGTCTAAAAGGACTTGGGGATGGAATGCTTTTGGCATGAAACAAAAGGTGTTCTTAATTAACTACAGCACTTGGTGGATGTGTCTTTAAATACCTGTCAACCTTAGCAGGTTAGACGCCTCAATCACTCTCTCAACACTCCTTAAAAAATATATGACTATATAAGACACGGATAATGTTGCAAACATGCTATGTCATGGTTATTTGGAAGCCTTATACAATATAAAACATATACTGTTGGGAGTCACTATGTTGGAAAACAGAGTATTAATTTTTATTTTATTTTCATATCCCTCTCTTAAATTATTGACTACCCATTGGTAAGCGACACAGTCTGATACAATGTTTATGGACTGCATTAGATGGGCACCGCATTGTTCCAGGATAGTTCTTGCCTATAGCAGCAGGCAACCCAACATCGTTTGATCAACAGACCACACCCACTGATGAGGCCCAGAGGCAGTGAAATCAGTCGAGGGGGTTACCGTGATGAAGCGAATGCAAAACCCTTTCATCCAAAGGCACATTGACAGGACTTAAATAGGATGTTTGAATCAAAACGCAGCCCTGCCTGTTTGTTGATTATTTATTTATGTTGAGTATGATATACAGTACAGTATATGCAAGGACCTGATTTATGGATTTTTTAATGCCAAACTATTTGAGAAAGAATGGTACATTTTTAGGTAATTCACCATTTTCTAAAAAAAACGATTTTGCCAAATTGGGTCTATATTTAATTCATTCATTCATGTGCATACATGTGGGTTCCCTTTATTCAATTCCCTCTGGTAATATTTTCAGAATCACTTCACTTAAGACAAAATACATCAATACAATTGGAGAAAATATTTTTTATTTTATAGCTGTTCCATAACCAACAGCTAAATAAATTGATGTTAACATCAAACTGTTTTGTACTCTTCAAAAACACATTTTAATAAAAAAAAACTGGCCCTCAATGAAATCCTTACTTTAACGTAAATGCCATGTTTGTGCAAGTGGCTTGTTGTGCTTTCAGTTGATGGTGTATGTGGAATGGCTTAGCATTACACAAGTCGCGCACTGTTACGCGATGCCATTTAAGCAACACAGTCAATTCCGTGCTGGGCACCAATCTTGCCCATCCAGGTCAGGTCATGGCATTTATAATCTATGTCATGCATCGAGTCCAGCTCAAGTGCCCAGCCAAGTCCATTACGCAATATATTTATGGCTGATGTCAGATATTGGAAAATGACCTTTACAGAGTTTTGAAATTAAAGTTTACACGGCTTGGTAATGCTACGGCTAGGGCACAGTGGCAGGTTTCAAGTTCAAATTCCAGTCGGGCGGGCGGTGGGGGTGGCTCAACCCAAACCCCTCGGGTGTTCAGAGAGTAAGTGCCACTTCATGAAAAGTCCAACAGTCGTTGTCCGAAGAATATACGGAACCTCAATGTTAAAAAAGTAGAAGTCCACAATGGGCTCAACATCACCAACACTCGCACACTTGTTTGAGCGGTGATACGCGTTGATCTGAAAACGTTTGCAATACCATATCTCAAAATCAAAACAGGTTTACATGGAGTGGATTATAACTGGTGATTGGCACCTACAATGCAATATGTTCTCACCAGAAGAGTCAAATGATTATCACATTCACCACATTTTTTTTCTCTCCATTACCTTAAGAACGATGAACAAGAAAACATTCAATACAGAGCTATTAATATTCACTCCGTGGTTTACATATTTTATTTCCCCACACACGGTTTGAAAGGATTTAATGCCTCGTGAGACCAGCCTGTGTACAACACCAGTCCCTCACTCCACTCACTGTAGGTTTACACTATATGAGAATGGTCCTGTTAATACCCACATCACCGGTCCTCCTGCTATATATGACTGGAATTTAGTGTCATTTGCAAGCAATTAACAGCACCACACTCCAAGTTGTCTTTATTCTATAGCCAAATTCTGAAAACTCTTCATTCCTGAGTTGCAGAAATCTGTATCAGCACACACGGTTAAAATAGCATGTAACAATTATTTGGGGGCTCTGTATATAGACAAAGATGTGGAAATGAGCCTTCATCAGACCTGGATTGAGGATCCACTGAACACTAAGTCCAAATAATATTTTGCCTCATTTTGTTTTTGGATCCAAGCCTCTTTTCTACCATCAATTCCAATCTCTCCAACTTCCAACGTTAAGCCTCATGGCTCCAAAGGCAGCTGCTTACCCCATTTGTTGGATAATCAGGCCCTGATTAATGGGGTTCTTTACAGTTGAGTATGAAGGCCTGCTCATAGAAACCTCTGGCAAAGACTTGAATCTTTGCTGCTGTGGTCACCTCAGAGAGCTGAGCCTTGCTTCATAGTTTTCCCAGCACAACAACTCATACAGGCCTGGTCACAATAAGTCCATCAGTGAAATTAGCACCATTTTCCCCAAACCCAAAACCAGTCCCTACCAACAAGTTCCTCACGCTGTGCAGTTATAACTCATCGTAGTCAGCCATATAGTCGGGGTCGGGGTAGAGCAGGAACCCAGAGAAGAGGCTGTCGGCCCAGTTGGGGTCAGAGAAGAGCCCGTTTTGGTCCGCGTAGAAGATCTGGAGCCACACTTCGTCCTCGGGCTTGAGCAGCAAGAGCGTGGCGCCCGACGCCACGTCGTGGTTGCCCGTGTTGGCGTCGAATGTGCGCACGCGGTAGACCCCGTTGTGCATGAGCCCGATGGCCAGGTGCTTGTTGGCGAGCGTCACGTCGTACGAGAAGTAGTAGACACCGGGGATGGCGCAGATGAATTTCCCAGTCAGCCCGCTGTAGTGGCCGCCCTCGTTAAACAGCACCTTGTCGAACTTGATGGGCGTGCGCACCTCCGGGTAGCTGGCCGTGATGGCGGCCGTGAAGGCCGAGCGAGGGATGTTGCTGCACTTGCAGCTGCCGGGCGGCCCGCGCTCACCGCGCACCCCTTTCATCCCGAGAGGGCCCGCAGGGCCGGAGGGCCCCACGGTACCCGGAGGTCCCTTCACGCCCCTGGGCCCGGCCTTGCCGTAGGCTCCACGCAGTCCTTTCTGTCCCTGAAGGCCCGGCTTACCGGGCTTTCCATTTGTGCCTGAAATGAAAGTTGCTCGTGTCATTTGTCAGCCACTGTGATGCAATCGCCATTTACCATAGCATGCACAAAGTTGCACGTACAGGTGCAGTCTTTTGTCAATCCACTGCGGGTTGAGGGCCTCCCCACACAGTGCGGGTCATGGAGGATCTCTGATTATACATCACGCTGGTCAGTGCAGGGAGGTGAAAGTAGGAAGGATGGTTAAGGGAGCATAGAAGTACAACAATGACATTTGTTGCACTGTCCTCTGTTTTCCCACAACATAGCCTAAAACACCTGTTATGCATGGTGGTTGCCCATCCAAGTTCTATCCAGGCTCAAACCTGCTGAGCGTCCGATGTCTGATTTAGTTATAGGCACAGTGTAATCAAGCTGTGTAATCGAGCGATGTTATTGATTGAATGTGATGCAATTAAGTTGGTGATAAGATCCAAAGCAATTTGAAATTAGGCAGCATGTTTCATGTAAAGTGCGCGAACAGCAACAATTATAATAAATCCCATTCGGACATAATTCTCTGACAGATTAAAGCTGACAGGAACAAACCTAAGGCCCTCCAACAAGACGGAACACAACACTTGTGAGTGAAACAGGACAGCCACTCATTACAAGGGGCATCACATTGAAACACAAATTAAAGAACTGCCATCGGCAGTCGTGAACAAAAATACAGAAACTCGCCATCATGGTCACGAATACATTGCAAGTGCGAAACGTTTGAACGACTCGCAACAACATCAAAAGCGTGTAATATACTTTCCAGAATCAGAATCTTTATTTAGACTGGAGGAATCCGATGAGCTATGAAGCTCTTTTTCACAAATGTCCAGTCCTAACGTTCGGAGTAATGACCCTTCTTCAGGGCTCACCGGTTTCCTGCTGCAGAACAAGTGCTCATGACGGCGGGTTATTTTTTTGTGTTTGTGCCACTGACCTGGCTGGCCCCGGTCTCCCTTGCTTCCCAAGGCACCGTCTCTGCCATCCCTTCCCGGCATCCCCGCCGACCCCGCGGGACCCGGAATTCCAGGGGACCCCAGTAAGCCTGGAGGGCCGGGGGGACCGGGGATGCTGCATATGAAGCGTGGTAGGCCCTCGTCCACCGCAGGCCGTTCCTCGGCCGCCTCGGACGCAGCCGCGAGGGAGAGCACCAGGAGCAGCAGCAGGACGGGTGCGACCTCCCGCATGGTGCGGGCGATGCCGCCCACGTCTCGCGCGTGAGGGCGCCGAGGCGGCCTCTGGGGGGCGTCTGTTCTTTGCCCCCCACTTTGGCGAGGGCGCTGGGAAATTACTGAGCCGGGAATTGAAGTCGCCAACAACCACCAAGCACCACCCCCCGCCGCCACCGCTGCCGCGTCCTTGAGATGCGGATGGCTCGTGGCGGGTTGCTGCTGACGTTGTTGTTGTTGTTGTCTGTGTCGGAAGAGAGAGTTGTTATGGCATTAACCGCAATTTATTTCACTAAGACGCAAATGTATTTCACCATTTTTGTATGCTGTGCGTTTAAATACCCAAACGTCTGTGATGCTGTATAGGGCAATACAGTCTAAAGTCAAAGGGCCTCCACGTTCAAATATTGGTGGTTCAAAGTCGGTGGCAGAAATTCCACATTCTTTACATGATGTAATGTCTGTAATGAAGAGTGATGACTTCGCACTAATTATTGTTGAAATATTTTGCACACCTGTCTGTGACCAATATCAAGGAAAGTAAGTTGGCACTGCAAAGTTTAATTATTATAAAACCATTAAGCCTCACTTAATGCATTAATTTACAACAGACCCATGATCCCCTGTATAATTTAATGGATTTCTTTGGCACCAATGTCTCTCTGCAAAATATTGTTCATTATTGAGAAGGAATGCTTATATTGGCAAGCATCAATTACATTTCCTCCGTGCAATATGGTCTAGTTTAACACGTAGGCTTTCGCGACCAATATTATTCATAATAAAGGTTTTTTTGGGGTTAGATCGCGTTATTTATAAATGTGTCGTAACCCTCCACCACCCGACACGGCCAATCAGAAAAAAAGTGTCACGTTGACAAAAGACAAATAGGTCACTACTTTATTTGCGTCGGGTGGTGGAGGGTTACGACACATTTATAAATACCGCGCTCTAACCCAAAAACCTTTATTATGAAAAATGTGGTCTAATTGTATTTATTGCCACTAGAAACAAGAGTAATATTTGGCCCAAAACACTCCATAAATCAATATTAGTGATCATTGTTCAAGTAATATTTAATTGTGCATGTTAGAAAGGTAAAAAAATACTATAAAACAACATTAACAATCAAAATTAGCATCTAAGTGTGTTGGTGTATTCTGCAGTTGTACGCGTTTACCACTCAATTCTGCCTCAGTTTCCACAAAAAAACCGCTTGTTAAAGAAAACGATGTAAAATATGAAAGCTATGGTTTCAAATTTCAATGTAAATATTACCTCTGGCTGCCTCTAAAATTCACCATTTTCAATACTTCTTTAAAAAAAAACAATTAAATCAACTTAGCTCTGATCCTTCAGATATCTGCTGACAGAACATGAGCTTCAGGGCCTTTGCTAAGAATGTATTTGGTGTTTGTTTTTACAATGTTTTTGAGCACACTATGTATAAAGCGGTCAATTCATTGCGGCAAAGACTTTGCTGATACATTTACACGTGAATAACTACAGTGATATGGGTAAAGGGGATGTTCTTGTTTTTTTTTAAGGTGATGAAAATAAATTGTTAGCCATTGCAGTAAACTAAAATAAAACGTATTTAGCTGAATTGACCTTGCTTTAGAGAAGCAGAATTGCCCAAAGTGTTAGCCTACTACATTTTTACAAAATGTAAATATTTTTACAAAATGTAGTGTGTAATCAAATCCGTCCGTTCATTTAGTTCCAGCAGCTGGTGGACCTTCATCAAACTGACGAGCGTGAAGTGTCTGGTCGGACAGCCGCACGATCGAAGCAGACGATTTTTTTTCCCAGCAGTGGTGAAGGTTGTTTCTCTCTCCGTGTTTGCGATTAGTTACTGCAACATGTAAACGATTGCCTGCTTGTGCTTCTCCCTCACGCGGCTGTTCCTACACAAACTCAAAAAGGGGTGATATAATGCAAGGGCCTGTTCCTCTACAGTAACTCCAGACATCACGGCAAGGACAATGGCCATACGCTGTGCCCTCATGATGCAACCTTTAATGAAAAATCATCTAGGTTTAATTACAGTGCAAAATAATATTTTTTGTCCTTTTCATTGGTATTACGAGCATATAAAGTACAGTATTGGAAATCCATTCTATGTCATTTATGGAATCGGGTGAAAGCCTTTTCGAGTTTATTGCCTCAAGTGAGAGAATAATCACTATATTGATATTTTCGTACAATATTGTAATTGATAAATGTTGGCTTTGGGTTATGACAGTAACACCCAGTAAATCTATCCTCGTGCCTGAAGCCACAGGGCCTGTCACCTTCACTTTACAGTGGACAGCACGCACACCTCTTCAAAACTGCCTGCTCGCCAGTGTTACCAAACCGTTCACGAAGGAACACTTTCTAAATGGAGCAACATGCCCTGGGTTGTTGCGCACCAATTCCTCGTGAGCGTGGACCGTGGCTCTTCTCGTGGACGCGTCGTGGTGGCTCGAGGTGCCGTCTGCTGCTGCCGCTCTGTGCTCGGTTAAGATGTTTTCTTGTTCATGTCTTTTGTTTGTTGCGGTTGCACCCGATTCAAGAGCCGAATCGCTCACAGGGCTATACCACATACATGAAACTGAAAACTGAAATTGGTCATTTCCAACATAAATGAATGGTAAATGACTATAATCAAACCTCTGAATGACGGGCTCATTGGCAAGGCACGCCATGATCGCTGACAACTCCGCCTGGCATTCACATTTAAAATGTTTGCACGTTTGTCAAAGATGAGCTGCATTTGGACAGGATCCTAACCATGACTCTCACATGGTAATTTATTAGAGACCTTGACATTCATAAAGTACTGTACATCAGACTGTATTGCTTTTCCAACAGCAGTTCGACTGGGACGTCCATGGGTGGCATTCATTGTTCCATTTCCAAAATTAATCCAGAACCTGCTGAGCATTTTATATTTGATAAACACTGTAAGCCATGTTCACAGTGTAGTATATGCAATTTATTATAAACGCAAGGTATGGTATTTTATTTCGCTTGTTTATTAGAAAAGTTATTGGGCTCATTAACAAATAGAAAACTTTAGAATTGACAAGTCGAGCAAGACTCAGTGAAAAGTATGCAGCTAATGGCACGGTGATTTTTTTTTCTAGATTTGAAGCTTTCGTGACTGCAAGGATTCATACTCTTTGGTTTTATTCGGTAAAGTCACGTAGGTAAAATAAAATACGACAATTAAATCACGACGTTTCGGAGGCAACACAAGCTTCCGTCTTCAGGTGGAACAGTCACAGCAGAATATCTGTGTCAAGTGCACAGTTCCGAGACGACTTGGTGATGTTTTTGTTTAGTAAGCAGCCCGCTGTATTAATCAGCAGCACGCTATATTGGTAAGCGGTGCGCTATATTATGAAGCAGTACGCTATATTACTGAGATATATGTTTGTGTATAAAGCCAATTTGTGGAACTCTCTATTTGCAGTCTTTTCAAATACATTCAGAAATAACTATTGCTAATTGTGTCATTGGGAATATACATACTTTATACAATCTTGTACGAATAACTTTTGTTTAAAAACTGTCATTACATTATTTAATATATTTCACGTATTTATGCAATATCATTCAATTTTATAAATCAAAGCTCAAGTGATTTCCTACTGAGACTATTCATAGGACAACCACTTTTGACATCACCTCAACGTGGTATGTATTGTATTTCCCAGGAAGGGATGATGGGCTGAGTCAACCCCCAAACAGGACTTGAACTCATAACCTTCCGATTGCGAGCCGCTATTTCTACCACTGAACCATAACGTAGAATGCAGTGCTGTGCAATACAACCTTCACTAACTGTGGATTCAATATATGGATACACTAATCAGACATTCCAATCAAGTCAAATTGTGTCCCTGGTCAAAGAAATGTTTGAAAGTGCACACCTCTAAAGGCAATCCTAAACAGTGGTGGAACTTCATCGTTGCTGCCGAAGAAACCCGCTGTCTCGACGCATACAGACATACAGCGGTAAGGTAAATGTGCAGCGCCGCAATTACCAACTCACACCACTGCTGGCGGAAGGCCCTGCCTAGAGGGTACATTCACCGACTCTCCACGCAGGCCAGGCGTGCTGGAAGAGGGAGAAGTACCCACACTTTACCCCAACCACACACGACCTGCCGATCGATTAAGGTAGACAGTAGATACAATGTCGTACTCGATGTATGCAGATGCATTTGTACCACTGCGTGGATCAAGTATTGCAATTTAAAGACATTCACTGCAAGCTCTGGGAATTACATATCAGGAAAGTCTGTTATACATCAAGCCGTTGTGGGGAGATGAATAGAAAGAGAGAATTTTCCCCTGGCATTGTAATATATGCGTGTATTGTTTATATAACAGCTGTTTTTAAGTATTTTTTTAACGATTTGTAAAATATTCGTTGGATTCATATTCACTGTAACCATTCTGCCTTGAGCGCTTAGCCAAACAGCCAAATAATGACCGTTTTCCTTATTTCTGTAATTCCCCCTCGCCCTAGGGATCCCCCCCCCCCCCGCGTCTGAAATTACCGTGCAGCCGTGAACCCAAGTCACCACGGCGGCTTAGCTGAATGTCAGCTCAGGAACCCGCAAACATTAGGCTGCTACGTGCAATGATCACAGCCCCGACGTCTGTAGCAGTGACCAGTGATGGTTTAATCGACACCCATTTTATTCCAGGCGAGTGCCAAGCAGAGTGCCTGCTCCCCTACGAGAAGTGATATTTAAATCCAGCGACTCAAAAATCCCAGCCTGCATTGCCCTCCGGCGGTGCACGATGAATCGGAGGTAAATCTCTACTTTAACGATGCCAGCAACGAATAACACAAATTAAATATGATTAAATAAAGCTGGCTTTGTAAATAGGTGCCGTGCATTGTCTCTCTGCTCAGGCGTGAGTGAGCGGTGGGAAATCCACATGACTATGGTTGCAGCCAGTACCTCCGTTTGACAACCACTTGATGTCCCACAGTGGCACTCATTTTATTCGCCCTAACATAATTCAGGTGGGATTTTTACGTATATGTATGTGTATCACATTTATTGTATTTTAATCTAATTAATATTTATGGAGCACCTTCTCTCAAGGCACTTGACAAATACAATATAATTGTTGAGCTTGGATGACATTTTAATTAATTAAAGGGTGTGCATTGCAAAACAAGAGGCAGTGCAGTCCTGTTTTAGACCCCAGATATAAGACAAGGGGCCAAAAGACCAT